CGCGCCCGATGGAATGCCACAGCCTGCTGTCCTGCTGAGCACCCGGAGCTCCCAGTTCCTCCCGGTAGCGGTAGCACGGCGGACTGCCTGGGGCCCCACAGCGGCACGCGGGGGTGCTGGGTGCCATGGCACAGCCTGAGATGGGACACGCTAGCCTGGAAACCCTGACCCTATTCCCGTGTGTGCTCATGAAGGTTGATGGTATCTGCCTTGGGGCAAATCCATCAGAGGGAGGGTTTTCTACCTTTCCTCTTGAGTAGATGAGAGAGGAGGCAGAGGGTTTGGACCCCGGCTGGAATACCCACCACAGCAGAAGGGACGCGCTGTGGACGCGTCGTGGGGTCATTTCACACCCGCACTGCTCAGCCAGTTTTCCCAGTTGTACTAAATCTTCTTGGGATTCCTACTTCTGAACTCTGTATTTAAAATTTCTTATGCCTGCAACGCACCTCTCCCTGACCTCTGCCCCCAGCCATGGTCCAGGCAGAGCCCCACGCTGCTCACCCGACTCACATCTGGAAGATGCTCACGTCTCCTGTGGGACAGGCAGGGGAGGGCCTCCTGGGTCTCACCAAGCTTGGGACAGCTGTGCCATCAGCCATCCTGGTTAACAGCTCTACGGCCTGGGACCACCACGCAGTTCAAGGCCGGGGCCCAGAAGGGAGACCAGGGCCTGGGCACAGCCTCCCGGAGAGCGGGCTCTCCATGGTCCTGCTTACCACCCCTCGTCTCTTCCTCCCATCGGAATGTCAGGCAGGAAGAGCCTGGTGCCACAGAGGCCCAGCTACACACACACACACACACACACACACTCACACGAATACACTCACACTCACACACACACAAAAAAACACAAACACACACACTGTCACAAACACAAAAACACACACACTCACAAAAACACATGAATACACTCTCACACACAAAAACACACTCATACAAAAACACACGAATACTCACACACAAAAACACACACACATACTCTCACTATCACATACTCACACACACACAAAAACACACACTCACACACACTCTCTCTCACACTCACACACACGCACTCACACACACTGGGACGAGACTCAGGCCACGGCTGCCTTGAGGCTTAACCAGGCCGAGGCTGACGGGCTGGCTCCACACTACCCAGGCTGTGGGGAGAGCATTCTGAGAGGAGTCCAGAGTAGAACAAAATTTTTGTAAATTTCCAATTGTTAAATTTATCTGGTGGCTTTTTCCTATAAAAACACATGCTGGGAAATACTTTTTTGTGGGCTTACGATTTTTTTATTTAAATGCTAGCCATAAGGATAAGGGTTTAAAAGGAATCTTTGATTTCAAAATGGAACCAATGCATGATCAGAAGGTATTAAGGTTAGTAAAAACACGAAGCTGTACAAACTGTAAGGAACTAAGCTGACCGACGGGCCGTGGAAGGGGTCCCTCACCCCCGTTACGACACCCGCGGTGGGCCAGCTGTCACGGTGAGCACACACGCACCCGTGGAAGTGTCCCCAGATTGGCTTCACAGATCTTACCTCCAGCTTGTGAGCCCTGTCCCTGCTCAGGGGCTCCAGGGGGAAGCTCAGGTTGTTTGCTTCTGCCAGAGAACGAAGATCGAAATAATACTTGGCATAAACACTGGAAGGAACGTTGATGTTGAACTGGAGCAATTCAAGAAACTGCCGCTCAAGCTCGTTCCTGCAGTCAGAGACAGAGACAGCACACGCTCGGCCGCCCGCCAGGCCACCACCAGGCACGGCACGAAGCCGGAGACTGGACTCCAGAACGCGCGCCCTCCAGCGAGGAAAGGGCACGAATTAACTGCCTGGCTGGACACTGGAGCTGAATTTAACCAGCAAACTGGTATCAAAAGCCGAATGCACTTGATCCGGTGCCCAGGGGATGAGGCCTGATTAACTGGGCTAATCACCGGGAAGAGCTTTGGGGCGGTCCGTGTCCCCAAGACCTGACGCAGAGCTCTGGCTGCAGACCTCGGCAGGAGAGTCCGCTCCAGCAGCCCTTCCTTCCTGGGAGAGGAGTGGAGAGACAGTTCAGGGCGCCCTTATATGAGGTGGGGTGTCCAATGCCATCCTGGCCTCTTAGAAAGGGGACTCGCTAACCTGAAGATCAGCAGCAGCTGGCACCCAAACCCCTGGGGGCCTGTAGAACAGACTGCCGGCACCTAGGGCTCCTGACTCAGAGGGCCTGGGGTGCGACTGGGAAACAGCAATAGCCCAGTCTCGGGTGGTGCTGGAGGCTGCGCGGCTGGACCCCGGCCCACACCCGGAGGACCACCTGACTACAGCCGAGGTGTTGGGCTCCATCCCGCCAACCCCTCACCACTGCTGAAGATAAACCATGGCTAGCCAGGGTACACGTCCAAACTTCGACTCCGGGAACTTCCCAGGCCAGGTAAGCTGACTTGGTTTCTTTCTCGAAGGTCCCCACCTGGGGTGGTGTCTCATGAGGGGTCACCTGCCGAGCACTGCCCTGGGCCAGCGCTTCCGCCAGCCCTGGCCCGGTCCTGTACCCTGCCCATCACACACCATGCTGTAACTGGGGTCTCATCGTGGCCTCGCCTGTCTCCTCAGAGCCAGGACCATGGCGTGCGGTTCTGCGGTGTAGCTCCTGGAACAGGACCTGGTGAAGCTTCTCACAGACATCAGGGCTGGACTGAGCAGGGAAGTGAGGGTTTCCAGGCAGAGGAATCATGGTGAGGGTGGGCTACCTCTAGCAGAGGGGCCCGCCCAAGACACCCACACCTGCACCTCCTCTTGCAGGCCGACAAGCACAGCCCTCCTGGCTCTGATCCCAGCCTCTGTACCCTGTCACCCCCACAACTCCACTGAGCACCAAGGGCCTGTGTTCTGGGCCTGGCACACATGCGATCTGGTTTTCTCAGGCCTCAGACTGACATGGCAGGTCCTGCCCCGAGCCCATCACCTCTCCTGGAGACCGCCTCATTAAGCTCTCGGAGAGCGAGGAGGACATGGCCCTAGGCTGCTGCCGTGACAGCAGGGACAGGAACACTGAGGAGGTGGGTGGCACACTAGGGTTTGAGAAGGGCAGGTGGCTTTTGTGGGCAGAAGCTACTAAGCAAATTGGAACTATGGAACTTCAGCGAGCTGCTAGCAAGAGCCGGAGTGAAGTCGCATCGGGTGTCTGACCAGATTAAAGCCCAGCTTGCTCGTTGTTTTATACAGCCTGGAGGAAAAAAGTTAATAAGCTCCAAGAATGTATGTTGTGTTAAAGTTTCCATTTTTAAAGAATTCAAATCACTTTTGAGATAATTTTTACTTTAAATGACTTGGATTTATGCTTCATTTAAATGGGATTTAATAAGAGACTTCCTGTGAAATACTGGAACCCAGACAAGAATTCAATGAAAAACACTATCAAAAACACCACTTCAGGGAGCCAGCATTTGCAGTGGTGGTGAAGGTGCTGGACTCTCACATGACTGACCACGTTTGAGTCCCATAACTAGTGGCATGAAAATCATGCCAGGCACATGTGTGTGCAAGCTCAAAATCCTGATAAGAGGATGGAGGAGAAAGGATTGTAGCATGGTCATCCCCTCTGGTGAGGTGTGGTTTCTCACTTTCCCTCTGTCTCTCTCTCCCTCTCTCTCCAGCGAGCACATGTACCTCTTGGCAAAACAAACAAACAAATAAATACATATAAATAAAAATCTTAAAACAACAAAACATTACTCAGGCCAGCAGTGCCTAAATAAACCAGCCAGAAGAGCAACCCCGGCCCGTGGGCACCGCCCGTGGACAGACTGCCATCTGCTGGCCACAGACATCAGCAGGGCCCAGATGCCTCACGACAAGAAGAAACATCCTATTTTATATTTTAATATTGTAAGAAAACAAGTCTGGTGATCCTGCCTCACATGGCACCTGGACATCGGACACTCCAGCTGCAGGCAGCCGCTGAGCCGAGTCAGGAGGAAGGTGTTTCTGAACGAGACGGCATTTTCCCAGGCTTGCTGACAGAAGAGAATCACCTTCTCCAGCCTGGATTTCTGGAATATATATGGTTATACTTCGGAGGAAATAGGAACTTGAGAGCTGTTAGAGTTATGTTCAGAGCCATTAAACTAAGGCAAGTTTTATAAAATAAAATTAATTTCCAAACTGTAGCAGCCCATTTAAAGGCTACCTGATAGCTTTGCTGTGTGATTAATTCCCAGGAAGCCAACCAACCGTGATGCAGAGAAAGTGAGCGTCATGGATTTACTGCCATCATTTCAGTAATTCTGAGCAAACAGTTGTGGTGTAAGACCTCCTTAGAAATATATTTGAAGTCAGTAAATGAAAAATACATTCCGTAAGTGGTGTTACGTCAGACCAACCCTACAGAAACCAGCAGACCTGGTGTATTTCAGCAACCTGGAAACAGGACTGTGAAACGGATTAAAAAGGGCCAGCTCTGTAGCCCATAAGCAAGCCACATCCCACAAGGCTGACTGTGGATTAAATCCTGGCCACAGCAGCCTGAAGAACGTGGCAGGCACTGCATGTGTGCCCCAAGTCCCGACAGGCTGGAGGAAATGGAGAAGAGAGTGCGACAGGGCATGGAGCTAGCCATTTAAAATAAAATAAAATAAAATAAAATAAGAATAAAAGGCTGTTTTCATCATCTCATGGTCTGCCTGTTTTTTTAAAGTTAGGCTCACATCAAAAATTAGGCATCAGTCTAGCCACTCCACTCCTGGATAAATGCTCTAAAGATGGTGGCGGCTTTTTTACCCTGATCCAACATGGAAGCAACCAAACGTCCTTGACAGGTGAGTGGAAAACAAAATGAAGTACACATGTATGATGAGCTTTTCTGAGGGCGTGTGTGTGGCATTTCTTCTGACAGGGTCTTGCTATGTCAAGATCCCCTTGCCTGCCGAGTTTCTGGGACCACAGGTGCACGTCCCTGTGCCCAGTCTTCATCCAGTGGGATATCAGTCAGTCTTAAGGGAAGAAGGGGGGCTGGCAGGTGGCACGGTGGTTGAGCTGCTGGACTTCCACATGGCCGACCGCTGTTTGAATCCTAGACCTAGTGGCTTGCTTTCTCACTTTTCTGTCTCTCTCTCTGATCAAATTTTAAATAATAAATAAAATTAACTAAATAATTCTTTAAACAAAGAAAAAGAAGGGAAGAAGGAAGGACAGTCTGACACATGCTGCAATGCGGATGGACCCTGATGACAGGCTAGGTGAAATAAGCCGGCCACAAAGCGCGACATGCTACGAGATTCTGCTTACATAAGGCACCTCGAGAAATCAAGCTCACAGACAGGAAGGAGAATGGTGCCAGGGGATGGGGGAGTCAGACTGTCCTGGACACAGTCTCAGTTTAGGAAAAGAGAAGGTTCTGGAGATGGATGAAGGTGGAGACGGCACACTATCGGGAATGGACTCAATGCCACAGAACTGCACATTGAAAAACAATTCAAATTTTATGCTATGCACACTTGACCACGTTAAACAAAAAACAAAACCAGGGCCACCCATGGCACAGAGGTTCAGTGCCGTGCATTGGGAGTGGCACCTCACATGGCCAGATGTGGTCAAGTCCCAGCCTGGCGACTTGAAAAGACCGACATGCCAGACACTGGGCATCTCCAAAGGAACAAGGCTCGCTGTGGGACCTGCATCTACCGGGCCACACTCAGACAGCTTCTCCTGTGGACTTCCTGTCTATGGATGGAAATGACCTTCCCAGGATTACTACAAAACAAACAAAAATCAGACAGGCAAACCCCAGGTGCGAAAGAATGTACAGCATTTCTACATACAAAACTGCACAGCTGAACTTCACTGTCCCCGTTCTCATCCATGGCGACTGTCATTTGTTGGTCAGAGATGACTGTGATGGTGTGACACTCGCTGTTGGTGAAGTGAGAGAGACCAGCCTGCAGCCCCGTCTTGCCACGTGAAGTCAGCCTGGGTCTGAAGTGTGACCACAGACACAGGGGAACACTGACCGTCCCGTCTGAATGGCCTCTCCCCTGCTCATCTTACACAACTCTGCACCTGCTCACACAGTGGTGTGTGGCCTTTCTTTTCCAAGCCACAGTCCTCCTGCCCTAAAGGCCCATGAGGCGGCTCTTAAGTCAACCTCGCTGTTGGCCAATTCTTAATCTGGAGACTAGCCTAGGGTCAAAGACCCCAGGAACAGCAAACAGCCCTCAAAGCACATATTACAGAGCTTTTCATCTGAAACCCATAAGCCCCACCCCTGCGTGGGAGCTCCAGCAGAATGCACCGGTTGTTGGCTTTACCAGGAAATAAAGACTAGTTAATGAGATTAATACTTTGCTGAGCAGCAAAAAGTTTATATAAATAGCACATAAAATATGGGCCTAGTTTGCAAAAATGAAATACATATCAACACTGATGTTTCAAAGCACTAGTAATCGCTCTTACTAGGTGATGAGATTATTAGGGGCATTTGGCAGGCCACACCAACGGGAGCAGACCGCAGTAGATCTGAGCCTTTCCCTTCCTGACGTCCTCCCACCTGCCCTCAGGTCCAGACCATTGGCTGTTTTACATTTGGGAAGCAGAGTGCGAGGATTCTAGGACTCTGGGGCCTTCTACAGCAAGCCAGAAAACAGCCACCGGCAGACGCCTTCCTCCTTCTTGGACAGCCAACTGGGAGGTAGAGGTGGAACTCAGTGTTCATGTGACATGCTGCAGCTGAGGTGACCTTTGCACCTCGGCTGGCCACTGTCATCCTCTCTCATGAGGGGCCCGAGGGGGCAGACACAGAGCCCTAGCAGACCTGCCTGATCCCAAGCCAGAGCCTTGTGCTGGCTGGAGCAGGCTTGTGGTGCAGATCGACAAGGACCTTACACTGCTTGGGAGAGAAGAAAACAGTCCTGGTCTAAAGAGAGTAGCTAATCTGAGCAAACGTGGTGGCCTTTAGACACATGCAGAAACGCGGCTCCATGAGCAGTCACTAGCAGGGCAATGACCACCACTAACATGTGAATACACTAGCTGCCTCTGTGTTTCTGAAACTGTAGAGCAGTATCAGGTAAAAAGAAGGCACATGTGTTCATCAGAATTGGACCAACAAGATTAGAAAAAACTTACATAAGACTACATATCTTTCCCACTATACAAGATGGCAAGTGAAAAAGCTGTGAAGCAGGATACTAAGAAGAAACCTGAAGCCAAGAAGGCTGATGTCAGTGGCAAGGTTAAAAAGGGTGACTCCAAGGCTAAAACATCCAAGAAGGGGAAGCCCCATTGCAGGCGAAACCCTGTCCTAGTCCAGGGCATCAGCAGATAGTCCCAGTCTTCCAGGAAGGCCATGTACAAGAGGAAATACTCGGCCACTAAATCCAGGATCAAAAAGAAAAAGAAGGTTCTTACGACTGTCACAAAACCAGTTGGTGGAGACGAGAATGGTGGTACCTGGTTGGTTAAACTGTGCAAAATGCCTAGGTATTATCCTACTGAAGATGTGCCTCGAAAGCTGTTGAGCCACAGCAAAAAACCCTTCAGTCAGCATGTGAGAAAGCTGCGAGCCAGCATCACTCCTGGGACCATTCTGATCATCCTCACTGGAACCACAGAGCCAAGAGAGCGGTTTTCCTGCAGCAGCTGAGCAGTGGCTTGCTACTTGTAACTGGACCGCTGGTTCTAAATCGAGTTCCACTGCGTAGAACACACCAGAAATTTGTCATTGCCACCTCCACGAAAATTGATATTAGCAAAGTAAAAATCCCAAAGCACCTTACCGATGCTTACTTCAAGAAAAAGAAACTGCAGAAGCCCAGACACCAGGAAGGTGAGATCTTCGACACAGAGAAGGATAAATACGAGATTTGAGAGCAGCGCAAGGTTGTTCAGAAAGCTCTGAACTCCCAAATTTTACCAAAAATCAAAGTCTTTCCTCAGCTCCAGGGCTACCTGTGATCCGTGTTTGCCCTTACAAATATCCTCACAAATTGGTGTTCTAAATTTTTTTGCCAAGACCCTAATTAAATAACTGATCATATTAAAAAAAAAGAATACATGGCACCAGGCATCTTTGCATCTCCAGCCGACTAACGTCTGAAAACTACTGGCTTTGCATTCCACTTCCCCTTCCCCATTTTCTGTCCTTTAAAAGAGTAAACCTGAAGCTGCCCTGGGGCCACAGCTGTCTCAATCGGAGAAGTCCAGACCACCCGACCCCCATGTTTCTCTACTTGTGCGTCTTTGTGTGTCTGTTTTAATGTTCATTCTCTAATACACAGCCTCCCACCCCGCCCCAGAGCATGTGTTCGCCTAGCTGTGAGGGACACGACACTGGCCTTGTTACTTGTTAGCCAAGACCTGGGCATTTTACTTAACTTCTCAGCACCCCTGTCCTTGACAAAATGGGAAGGATATGCATAGGACCACCTCATGGGTTACTGTGAGAAAAATACACACCCAGAAACGGTTCCTATGGGCTCAGACGTGCCCGTTAATGACAACTGCTGTTAGTATTACTGCTGTTATATCATAAATTTTCCAGGAACTGTTTGGTTTTTCCTAACTTGGTAAATTAACCCTTCAATGACAGAACCCAAGTCCCTGGCATTCCAAGTTACCTGTTTTTACCCTCCCACCTCTTTATTTAAAGGGAGGATGAGACAAATTACAAGAGTACTTCAGGAAGTTAGCTAAAGGTCTGCGCGGAGAGCCTGGGGACTGGCACACCTCTTTCCCACAGTTCCCCATCTGCTCCCTACATGATTAATGACCACGGGACTAAGAAAGGGGGACCTCTCCTAATCACTGGGGGACACAGCCCTTGGCTTTCTTACGGGAGCATTATTTAACCTCTCTAGGCCTCACCGTCCAGGATCCCACACAGCCGTCTCTGCATCTAAATCTGGGGGCTGACCATCTGCGAAATGCTGGTTCTGCCCAAATGTAAGCCATCCCAGATAGGCATCAGCACCAGCCAACACCCGTCTAAAGCGGCTTAGTAGGCCAGTTTCATAAAACCAGCAGTTACCAGTGTCTGTTCGTGATCCACAACACAGAGACACATGGGCTTGCACAGGCACCATCTCATCACATACACGCCCTGTGTACCAGCCCACGGCAGTCAAATCCCCGTATCCTACACAGACCACCTCACGGTCCTACCCAACACGGCCAGCTGCCCCGACCTGCAGCCCCACTCACATGTCCTCCACCGTGATGTCCTTCAGGATCTGGCAGTAATCCACGTTCCACACAGCCTGGTCGTCCCACACCTTGGAGGCCAGCAGGATCGCCCCGAGGACAATGCGCTTCCAGTTGGCCGGACAGATATCTATCTCTGCGTAGGTTAGCAGTCTTTCAAGGTATACCTGGAAGGACGACAAAACCAAAGCCGAACAACTTGAGTTGTTTTCTCCTGGACACCAGCATACTGCAGGAGACCCTAACACCATGAGGCTCCACCCCACCTAACGTAATGGTACCAAGCGGTTTACCAATGGGATTTTGATTTGATATCCCTATTTTTAAATAGTTCGAATGAAGTCATTCAGCTAAACCTTAAAAAGAAAACCCAGTAATGTAGGTTTTCTAAATTGGCAGAATTTAGTTTGAAGGCAGGTATCAGAAGTATTCACAAAACTCATCTCTTAAGTTGGGTCACAAGGTGAGAGAGCCTTTAATTGTTTCCAGGAGTAGAAATCTGTTTATCAGCACATTTTACACTTTTCTGAACCATGGGATTATTTCTACAGCTTTTTATCAAATATGCCTGCAAGGTGGAGCTACCGCATCAGGGGGAAAAAAGTCAACAGATTATCCATTTTTTGAAACTTATCTTCTAAAACTGATCAAAATTACACAGTGTCATGACTATTCAGAGAAAGGATGTCTGTAAGTCTTAAATATTAGAAAATATAAAGGCATGTGTGGAAAGAAAGACATTAAATACACAAATAAAACACAGACTATTTTCAGTTAAATAAACAGTGTTTCTACCAGGAGGGAACGGGTTAAAACAAAAAGGGAAGAACCTGCACCTGTGACCTCACTGGGGTGTTAAGGGAGAAGGATGAGCTCTGACTGGCCTGAGGGGAGAGGATTCCTGCATAGCTGACAGGCAGAAGCCCAGGACATGCAGAAGCAGGCTGACAGCCACACTATGGGGCCACCAGATAAGCGGGTGGGCGGGGGGCAAGGGGTGTGTCCAAACCAGCGAGTTCAGTTCATCATGAACAGTCCATGACACGTGGGACTGCGGGGCAGGCCCTGCCACAGACAGGCAGCCCTGTGCACGCTGGCTGCAGAGCAGACCCCACAGGGAAGGAGCACAGCTGACGGAGGGGCTGGTAGGAGGGGGAGCAGTGCGGATAGGGAGCCGGGTGTGAAGAGGGGGCGTGTGGCAGTGAAGCATGGCAGGCATGTCCTGGCAGTCCGTGCAAGGTCACCCCAACAACCCAGAAGGCCCTGCTTTGAAAGACCCCCAGGTGTCTAGTCTGTGTAGCTGGGTGGGTGCCACCTGCTGAGACAGGGAGCACTGGGGTGGAAGGAGCTGATGGAAGAGGGGCAGACGTGTGACTCCCAGGTGCCCCAGAAGACGCCACAGGCAGTAACAGGCAGGGTGGGGGCTCCAAGGAGCATTGCTGAGACGTGCTGAGAGTGACGATAAACAGGGTGGAGCCTGGCACAGACCCCTGACCTGGGCAGAGTGCCTACACACAGAGAAGAGGGGCCAGGCCGGGCCCCGAGGGCCCCTCCCATTGAGCAGGGCGGATAGGGAGCCGGGTGTGAAGAGGGGGCGTGTGGCAGTGAAGCATGGCAGGCATGTCCTGGCAGTCCGTGCAAGGTCACCCCAACAACCCAGAAGGCCCTGCTTTGAAAGACCCCCAGGTGTCTAGTCTGTGTAGCTGGGTGGGTGCCACCTGCTGAGACAGGGAGCACTGGGGTGGAAGGAGCTGATGGAAGAGGGGCAGACGTGTGACTCCCAGGTGCCCCAGAAGACGCCACAGGCAGTAACAGGCAGGGTGGGGGCTCCAAGGAGCATTGCTGAGACGTGCTGAGAGTGACGATAAACAGGGTGGAGCCTGGCACAGACCCCTGACCTGGGCAGAGTGCCTACACACAGAGAAGAGGGGCCAGGCCTGGCCCCGAGGGCCCCTCCCACTCTTTTTTTTTTTTTTTAACTTTATTTATTTATTTATTTTAATTTGACCAGAGAAGGACAGAAAAAGAAAGTGAGAAAGCAAGCTGCCAGGTCCAGGACTCGAATCGTGGTCAGCTATGTGGGAGTCCAGCGCCCTTAACCAGCACGCCACCTGCCGGCCCCAAAAAGGGCTCCAGGTGGACAAAGCAAAGGGGCCGGAGGAGCGAAGCTGCGCTCTGCCCTTGTTGGCCCTGGAGAGGAGGGGCTCGCGAGGCGCAGCCTGCTAGTGTCTGAGCTCAGCTGGCAGTGCTGCCCTGGGCACACGGACCCCCCCACCCCGGGCCAGGCGGTGGTGTAGCAGTGGTGCAGTGGGCCCCTGTGGAAGGTCCTGGGTTCACGTCCTGGGGCTCCTTGTGCATGTGCCTGCGATCTGGGCCGGGTGGGGGTGACTATGCTGTGGGGACCCTGCTGGGGCTGCCTCTGTCTCTAATGAAAGAAATACATTCTAGGGAAACAGGAAATCAGAAAATAAGGACGTATCAGGCAGTGATGAAGTGGGTGGAGGGGACAGAGGTGGGGGGGGGCAGGCAGAAGTGGGAGGAGGCAGCGTCCCAAGTGGCACCACCTGTCAGCACCCCTCCCCTTGAATCTGTGCCTCGGAGTGAGAGTCCATGCTCTCCCTGCCACCACCGTCTGAAACAGATGCATGAAGGCCCAGAGAAGTCGGGAGGGGGTTGGAGCCTTGTCCGTCTCTCCCACTGAGAGGGGCTTTGCTGAGAAGCTGGAGTGGTTGCTGAGTGACACGAGGAACAGTAACACATAAGTAATATTTCCTTCAGTTGGAAAGACTGCCGTTCATTCTCAGTGCTGCATTATATCTTTTTTTTTATATATATATATTTGTCTTAAAAACCTAGATTCTCGTGGCTAATTTCAGATGCTCCAGAAGGCATCAGGGGCACTATATTGAAGACCAAGTAAAAACCACAGAAAGAAAGAAAGTACATTTCAAACTTCCAAAGACAAAAATAGCCAATAAGGTATGCTAAGAGGTTCGAGGTTCACTGATAAGCAATAAAACAGAAAACCTTTACGGATTGAGAATCCTTAACCGAAATGCCTGGGGCCAGAGGTGTTTGAGATGTCAGACTTAGAAGTGTCTGCATGAGGAGGTATCCTGGAAGTAGGCCCAGGTCCAAACCCACAGCCCCTGTACGTTTCATACACACCTCATACACGTAGCCTGGAGGCAAGCTTATAAAGCGGTTTGCATTGCAGTGTTTCAGCTGCCACCTTCCACCTGTGTCGTGTTGGCATTCAGAAAGTTTCAGACTTCAGAGTATTTTGGATTTCGGATTGGGAATTAGGGATCCTCAACCAGTATAGGAAAAGTCTACCTCACCTTCCTCCGAATCGGTCTGGCCCAGTGCTGCATTTACCTCGGAGTGGTATGGCTGCCTCCTGCCCTGCCTCTCCCCAACAAGCAGGACATCCTGACCAGAGGACCCCAACTGGTCCCCCAGGGCAGCATATAGAACAAGGCCAGGGCACAGCAGGGCCCCCAGGATCTTGCTTACCGGGTGCGTGGTTGACCCCTGGAGCCTGCACATGGTCCGGAGCAGGGTTCTGGGAGGGCGGGTTCCAAGCAAGGCAGGTTCAGGAGCTCATCTACGGCTTCACCTGATTTTATTAATGTTCTTTTCCCTTTGATCCAAATTGCCTACATAAAAATCTAATCCTGTTGTCTGTGTGTTTTTGTAAGAACTTGAAATTGTCTTATGGGATAAAGTTGGGCAAGAAATAATAGATTTCTCCCTTGGGACGTAAGAACCACAACCACGCCGAATCACCTAACAAACGCTGGAGTGCGCACTGAGGCTGCGAGGTCAGTGGGGAGGAACGGGCGGGCACGGCTGCATGGAAGCCAGACGGTGGGGAGCAAACACGCAGGCAGGTTTCCATGAGTGAGCTTATGAGCACGCGGCTCTTCGCGGGAGAGTGACAACGAGCCCCTGGGCGCACAGGGAATTCCTCTGAGACAGTCATCTCTTCTCAGAAGCCACAGGGAATGGTGTTGGACCCTGGATAGCTCAGGGACAGGGGCACACCTTCCTCCCTGACTGACAGTGAAAGGGCAGCGTAGACAGGTCCCATGATTAAGCCCATTTCCTAAGTACGATCTGACCTAAGTAGTCCATATTAATAATATACGGATTTATTTTCCTCGAGCCTTAAAATGAAAACTACCTCCATGCGGTCTCTCGGTATTTTACAAACACAAAAATCACAAGGCAGAGGCAAACAATATGCACACACTCCATTGCACACAGGCGTTAATGTATGGCACGTAAGGGGACTTCAAAAATTCATGGAAAAGGGAATTAAAGTATGGATTTATTTTGGTGCAAAAATGGTGAAATCCATGCGTAGTTTCTTCTTTTTAAAGAGAGATTTCTATTATACTTTATCTGTGATAGGACACACGGACACACACTGAGAGTGAAATGGGATGGGGAAGGAGGAGTGCCCTCCATGAGGTCTGGTCACTGTCCCCTGCCCTCGAACCTGCTGGATCTTGGGCACTCGTGTGCATGTCTGGCGTGTTTCAGGATGAACCGTGGCTGCCAAGTGAGCTCCAGCTTTACCACTGCACCAAGGAGCCGGCCCACGGTTTTTCAGTAACAGTTTCCATGAACCTTCGAAGACTTCTCCTGGTCACATCCTATCTTATTAAAGCTGTTGCGAGCTCCATAGGGAAGCACCGACAGGAAGCCTAGACACTCCCAGGGAGCGGCCTTGGTCCTTCTCATCGGCCCCCGCCTGTTTTACCACCTGTGTGGGCCATGTCGGCAGTCATGGCTTGCATGTGACTTCACCAAGAGCTGCACGTGGGACTGCGGGACAGACTGCAGACCCTCCTCTGTGGTACCCAAACTCCATCCTCCAGAAAACAAGATGACCCTGAAGCCTACACCGTGGTTTCCCCAGGGCCACCTGATGACAACCCCTGTTGCACCCACTCGGCTCCACTGCAGGACCAGGCCCTGCCCCAGCATGGACAGGCAGCCGCCCCGCGGGCACTCACCAGGGTGACAATGGCACATTCTGCCGTCAGCTGAGCAGCACTGAACAGCGTCCGAACGAATCGGTAGATCTGCTTCTGTTCGGGGTTGTGTTTGTCATAATCTGGTGGCACTTCGGATTTCTGGAGAAGAAAACATTTTCAGATGACCAGTCATCCAACAGAAGCAAAAGTGAAATTAAACAAGCTTACGGAATATGAGGAGGGAATTACCGAGAGAGGATGAAGGTTTTCATCAAAAATATCTAAGAGCATCCTTCCATCTGGGTCCCTGGTGGGAAATAACAGAAGATGGAGGTGACGTTCTGTAGGAATGAGAGGCATTCAAGATAAAATAGAAATGACATTTGATTCCACTGCACTTCAAGAAAAGCAGTCAGTGCTAAATGTAAGGGCTGCTGTCGGTTATACGGGAATAATGATTTTTCCTGGGTACAATATTTCATTGTTTCTGTTTGAATAGTCCACGGAAATAAAGGTTATGAACCACATTTACTTGAATTAAGTAAAAAATCTACACTTTCACTTTCTGAGTGTCAATAACAAATGAAGCCAAGGACTTAGACCCTCCGATGGCTTATTTCTGAGCTAAGGCTGACGGACCTGGCTGACAGGAGAGCCGCTGAGGGTGAGCACGCACTCCACATACTCGGGTCACATGCGTGGCCCCACTACTTCACGAACTGGAGCTTCTCAGTCCTACACTGAAGGAGGCGACAGGTAGAAAATGTAGTTCCTGACCTCTAAACCCATCGGGAACAGCTGGCTGGCGGCAGGCCGTTTCGGGCCCCTAGGGCCCCCCCCCCCCCAGCCGCACCGCACCAGCATCGGCTCCACTTCCATCTGTCTTGTGTTGGCAGCATTTTGCCTATCAATTTTTCTTTAAAAATAAAATTTGGAGGACCAGCAGGTGATGTGGAGGTTAAGGCACTGGATCCCATATGGCCAACTCCACGGTTCAAGTCCCAGACCTGGTGGCCTGAAAAACACACCAGGCACATGTGTGTACATGCCCAAAATCTCAAGAGGAACATGAAGAAGGGACGGTGGCAGTGGCCATCCCCTCAGAAGGTGAGTTCTCACTTTCCCTCTCTGACCCTCTCTGGAGAATGAATGCACGTACCCTTTCTTCTAGTCTTTGAAAGACACTGCAGACATTGTGTGAGGAGAGCCTGGCCCAGGCTTGGGCAGCTGAGCCCTTCTCAATTCTCCTGATGAACAAGAGCCTCCGCCAGGCCGCCCAGCACTCTAGCCACCAGGAGGAATGGAGGTTAAAACGTGAAACGGGGGGATCAGCAGATGGCGTGACGGTTATGTCACTGGATTCTCACCTAGTCGACCACAGTTTGAGTCCCGACCTGGTGGCTTAATACTCACGCCAGCCATGTGTGCCTAAGATCCCGAGAGGAGAATGGAGGAGAAGGGATTAGTGTGGCCATCCCCCCACCATGGGGTGGTGGTGGGGGGGTGATTTCTCACTTTCTCTCTGGGGAGTGCACGTGCTCTATAGCAAAAAAAAAAAAAAACTTTCTTAAAAAAAAAAAAGGAAAGAAAAGAAATGCTACCGGTAAACTGGCTTAAAGGCACAGTGGAGTTTCGCCAATGGTATTAGACATTGTTGCTTAGTCTTAGATGTCTAAAAAGTTTAAATGAGTATCTAGAAATAAATGATTAGACAAAATTTGCATTTTCATTGATACATGACTCTGGGTCAAGATGTAGAATTTCAAAGTTGTACTAAAGTTCTCAAATCCAAAGTCCTCATGCACTGCAGAGAAACACGAGTCTCAACTATGCTACGGAGCTAGGTCAGCACTGGCTCCCAGGGACCTGTGCTCTCCCGTCACTGTCCACGAGAGGCTCCATCATCCAGTCTCCTCGTCACTGGCACCCCCCCAAATCCCCACTGTCCCCTCCTTGCCACACAGACTGGGTGAGGGTGAGGCAGCTCCGGTGGAGGCTCTGTTAGTCCCTAAACTAGTTCACACCAGTTGCACCTCCCACGCTCCTGTAGCAGGGGTCAGTGAGTGACAACTGCGCTGAACATGGCTGCTTCACATGGAAACTAGGGGTCCTTCGGGAAGACCTGACCAAAGGCGTGTAGGTGTGGCCAAGACCTGCAAGGCTCTTCGAAAGGATTGTTTTGGAAATGTCTACGCTTCCTCATTACAGAGAGGAAACAAAAATTTAGAAAGGATGAACTCCAGGCATGGCTTATGGAAGTATTCCAAGCAGTGCCCGATGCGTCAATTAGAAGTCTGGATATGGGCAAAAACCTTAAAAAAAAAAAAAAAGTCCTCATGTTGCATAATACTCATGGGCAAGTAAATGTATTTTCACTTGCTTTAGGATGACATAAGATGTTTTAGGTAGATCTTTTTTATTTTTTAAACTAAGGGAACTCTGGCCAGATGTGTGTAGAGCAGAGAGTGGGCTCCTCTTACATTAAAACAACTTATGTCTAAGTTTACACCAAAACTTCTTCTAGGAATTCAAACTATAAACATTTTTTTTTCATGTTAAAGTTGCTTATGACAAAGTTTTAAACACTATTTTATGAAAGGCAGCATGTTTAAACAAGTGATACAGAAAATAAAGAATGAAGAGAAAGTTGAACATTATCAAAATGTCTTGTCCTGTTTTGCTGGTTTCAACCGCAAACACCCATTTGGTTTCCTCTCGTTCAGAACGAGGTTCAGAACTTACCTGGGTAATTTTAGCAAATACTACTACTTTTAGAAATGCTGTGAAAATACGAGCCACAGATCTAAATAAAATTCAAAGGTTGCCTCTAAATTATGAGGCAACTGGAACACATAAAAAACACAAAAACGTAACAGAAGACAAGCTGCTATGATCTTTTTAAAACAAAAATCAATCACCCACATACCTGTTTTTGATGTGATAATATATCGCAAGAGCTACACTGTAAAATAAAACAGGAGTTCAGTGTTTTATAAGCACACTCAAGATCTTACACGTGACCCACTGCCAGCCGGGACATAAACATCTGAGTGTCAGTGAGAGCCAAGCAGGCCAGCAGCTCAGTCCCATTTCACCCAGGACGCTGACGAAGACAAGGGAGTCTTCAAATCAGGCTGGTATTCATTCCTAGGAATTATTAACTCTTTTCTAGAAAAAACAGAACTCAAGTGATATTTAGAAACACACTGCTCT